GCAGGAGGAGTAGTAATAATACCATGCTTATTTTTGAGTGTGCTCCGAATTTAAACACACACGTAGTGTAAGAATACCGACAGTTTTCAATGACAATGCTCCAAGAGGGACGTTAATTCGCCTCGGGAGAATTCGCACTCACATTGAAGCATTATTGTATTAGTTAACTTCCTACGAACAAATGTAATTAACGTTTCACTCAATTTACACTTTAAAGGGAAGAGCTATGGAAATGTACTCCTACAGGAGATATATATAACTGAAAGGAATAGTTGTATATTCCGGTTCCTCATTTGACAGACGTCATTCATAACATAACAACGACAAGTTTGGGTGATGAAACATAGCAGACATCGACCAATGGGCCAACATACAGTCTGGATGAACAAAGCAGCGACAGATGAGCTTTCAGAGAGGAATGTTTCTGTCTACAGTAACTGGTACTTCATGGCCAAAGTGTTGAAAAGCTGTGACTATAGATACATTCTGATTTTTCAAAACGCTCAAAGTCATGCATTGAAAAGAAGGCCATTCTGAACAAATGCCAATATGCTCTTTCGTGAAATCAACGGTTGGTGGCTTTTTCTTCATCTGTCCGGTCTTATTAAGAGAATACTATTGATAGAGGAGTCAGCATTGAAGGACAGAAGGTCTGTCATCTGCCTGCTTTATGACTGGTTAATAAATTTCCTGTTTGTGTTATCGATAATTTCCTAGTATTTGGCACAGGATCAGAAATTAGCGAGATCGTGTGTAGTTGCTGCTTCGGCGAACCGAAAGGATAAACGGTCATTGAAACTGACTGACTGGTCGACTTTCCGATTGAGCGACCGACCGATTGCCTGATGGACTGACGAAAGTTCTGAATGAGCAAGTGCTGAGGGCCGGCTGCGAGGCACAGGTATCAAAGAAACCGACCTATGCTTTGTTTCATTAAACGATCCTGATCAAGAATGGACAAATGTTCAGAACATTGCATGCATTGGAATGCAAATCAAATTTTAGTAACACCTTGCTCAGGCAGACTTGAGTGTGAGGAAGAATTTGTCGTTTTCCAAGGTTGCCAACGTTGCCAAATAAAACTGGAATGGTTGTTTTTTGTGGTCTAATATAAAGGTCTGAATTACTCTGATGTTGATGCTTTTCTACGCCTAGATAATGATGAAATACAAACCAAAAAACCGGGCTGCTAGAAGAAGAAATGAATTACAGAAATACCGCCAGTGGGGTCCAACGCGGTGAAAGAAGTTTAAGATAGACACTTTGAAAACACTTTATTCAGGAAAGAACTTCAAGTTAGATAACAGTGCTAACACAGGCAAAAATGGGCTAAAAACCCTCTCACTTGTGCATTTCTATATGCGTATAGAATGCCCTACATAGGACGAAGCTGGTTTACCATTAAATCAACTTCCATGTTTTGTTAAACGGCAGTTCTCACCAGGTGCAAACATCAAACATCGCTGAACAGAACCAAACAGTTATACATCATAGTGTCAGATATGTCCGATTGTTTTTTCTTCAAGATTGATGCAGACGAACGGATTAAAAAAAAGAAATAACGCAGTTCAACGTCGGTAACGGGGCCTGTTTGCAGAGTGCGAAAATTCGCAGCAGGCATTGCGTTGCAAGTGCGGGAACTGAAGCACGAGACTGTAGATTGTATCTCGGCAGAAAGTCCGCCAACGTGTTACCGACCACCTACGATTGGCACATATGTCAGAACCTTGACTCATTAATTAAGCGGCTAGGCAGAGCAGAGAACTAAAAACGTTGATCGACACTTCAGATGATCAATTGGATATCTGAGAAAGTGAAGGCATTTCGTGCATGCGAAAATCTCACCTAAATGACACGAATTTGTAGAACAGCGAAGCAATTCGTTGCATGCAGAACACCGTCACCTGTTAAGACAAATGAAGACGTTAATATTAATGGCTGAGCAAAGTTATGGCGCTGCAGTTTTCATTTATTATTTATTCGAACGAAGGAAGGTATGGCATTTTTTATTTTATGATGCCATTCATCTTATTCTTTTGCTTTTCCTTTCAACCTCATGAGTCAACACCTTCGCTGAGAGAAATGTAGCACTATGGAAAGAATTTCACTGCACGCTGTTTGAGGGTTAGGATGGCTCTAGATCCCCAATCTTGCCGTTCAGGCTTCAACGCCCTTGCCTTAGACATCTGCTTTTATAGAAAGTTATTAATTCATGATTAAAGCAGCATAGTTAGCTTATCACTTCAAGGTGATTGTTGTGTCTATGCAACCAATCGTTATGTCACCTTGGTGCCTCGCTCCAGTATACTTTCACTTTAGTTCGAACCCGTATGATTGATGGGGACACAGCGGTTAAACGTCGGCACAAAAAGTGCTTAAACCCCAATTCCCTTGAGAATGGGATTCCCTAATTTGCTTCTCTACTATCAAACTAGAAACGAGTACTGAGTCATTGACTAGCGAATAACTGGAACAGCATGGTGTTTTATAGTGGTCATTCCAGAATGCGAGCGCCTCTTATAGCAGAAATCCGTCTTAACTCACTTGACTTGTAGTGACTATTCCCTGTGATAACTAACGCAAGTGTAAACCTTTCTTGAGAAACAGCAAGACTGCTAGAATCGATGAAATCTATCCATAGATGCTTCGAACTTTAAGCGAACAAGGCATGTTGTAGCTTACAGGTGCATGTGTCCGTCAAGCAGGTATGACTACGTGAAAGACACTAATACCGGAAACATGTCGTCATGTTTCCCCTGTTCACGAATGGAGACCAAATTGACTGTTCCAATTATTAGGGCATAATCATATTGGACCTCCCGTGAAAAGTCTCAAAAAGGTGTTCGAACGAAGGTGGGTAAAATATTTGACTCAACGATCCAAGCAAGGTCATGTCGCTCCAAATCAGCTTAAATCTTGTTTCACAAGATTTTCGCCTTATAGCAGATTGTCTGAGAAAACGTAAAAATTCGTCCATCCGGTTTCTACGCATTTTGCTGACCCAGAGAAAGTTCATGAACCGATCCGGCACAACAGGCTATA